CTGCCATCTTCCTCCCGAAGGTGCTGTGAGGGGGTCGGCGGCTACGCTTTCCAGCTGAAAAGCAAAGAAGGCCCTGCCCCTTCCAGTCCGCCTGCATTCCTATTGGTGGAAGCTCCCGAGCGACAGGCTCTCATTGGTTCCGAACAGGCGAGGGTGGGGCGGGTCTAGAGAGAATACACTAGTTATGGGCGGGACCAGACACTACCTAGGGGGACCCGGGCACAGCCAATCCTTGGCCTGAAGATTGTGTTTTGGGGGTGGGGGAGAGGGGGGTGTCCCGATCACCCCCTCCCTCTTTCTCTTTGGGGCATCCTGAGGGGGATGACCTCGGTGCCAGGCTCGGCTGCTGCCGCCTGATGCTGGGTGAGCCGAGCCGGGGATGCTGGTACGAAGGACGTTGCTATGGCAACGGGAGGCAGGGCCTGGGGGGGGGACCGGGCCCGGGCTGGAGCTGGAGGGGCCGGTGGCTGCTGTGGTGGGGCGATGGCGGAGCGCGGCCCAGCCTTCTGCGGCCTCTATGACACATCCTCGCTGCTTCAATACTGCAATGGTGAGACCCCCCCCCAACACCTTCTCAGTTCCCACCTTTGATCCTGCCCAGGTTGGGACCCATCTCTTCCTGCCCCAACCTCCTTTTTCCAAGTCCCTGTTCCCCTCCCTTACTGTAAACCTTCCTCCTTCTTTTTCTGATTGAGAGCATCCTGACCTCAGAGAAAAGTCTCTGATCCCCCCAAAGCCAAAATCCTGTCTCCCCTCCCCCAACTTGGATCTTCTGCTTCCTAGATGGCTAAAGAGAGGGACGGGGGGCAGAATCCTAAAGAACCTGTGGTTGGGATGAGGGAAGACCTCGGGGTCCTCTGAGCTTGAACTCTGCCCTCTCCTTTCCCGAACCTCAAGTCTCTGGAACCCTCTGTCTTTCTCCTTAGCAGAGGGACGGATTTGAGGGGGGAGCAGGGTGAGATTTGGTGTTGAGCTGAGGGCATGATGTGGGATGGTTGGGGTCCCATGGCACTCTCCCCCACTATACTCCCCCAAATCCTCAGCCCTGCTTCCTCACCCATTAATCCCCCTCCTTTCTCTCTAGGCAAATTGGGTATCATATCAGAGGGGTCAGGCCTGGCTGAGGGGGACTGGGCAGAGAGGAGGGGAGAGGAGAGAAGAGGGGGATGGGATGGCAGGTCTCTGGGCAAAAGAGCTGGGGCCAAGGAGAATGGTCAGTAGGGGAGGTCAGAAGACTTCAACCATGGGGGTACAATGGGCAAGCTTCTCAGAGTAGGAGTGAAGTATCAAGGTGAAATCACCTTCTACTTTTACTCAGAGGCCCTGAGAGGGGGCATATCTCCCTCCGGTGGGCACACACCCTTCAGCCAGGCCCCCCTAGAGCTGGTAGAGGACCCATAACGACCATTTTGTCCTCCTCTGTCCCTCTATAAGACAGGATGACATAGTCCTTGAGCCTGGGCCAGGAAGGGACTCAGCCACTGAAAGGCTACGTGTCTGGGCTCAAGGGACCTTCTTGGCTCCTCTCCTCCTCCTCCTCCTCCTCCTCCTCCTCCTCCTCCTCCTCCTCCTCCTCTTTCCCCTCTCCACCTAAAATACGTAGACTACTATAAGCACTAGAGTTGGGGAATAATTAGGAACCATAAAATAATTACCTTCTAGATCTATTGAGCAACTACCATAGGTTGGGGAAATTGCTAGGTGTTTTACATGGGCACACTTCAGCTTGCAAATAACAGGTACTTCATTTTTTTAAAAAGAATATAGTACTATTATTGGTAGGTAGGAAAGTGATCAGCATATAGCACTAATGATGTCCCCCCCCCCCCCCCAGGATGTGCTTGAATGACCTTTGGGATGTTTCTGCATAGGCATTTCAACCTCTCTCCTTAGCAAAACATAAACTTGGAGAGTCCCTCCTAGGGTGGGTTTCAGGTCCGGACAGTCCTCTCCCCCATGACCTGAGGGAGGCCCCCACCTTCCTCTGCGGATCCCAGCCGGACCTGCGAAGTCCCGGGTGGGGGCAGGGTGGTGAGCCTTGGCAGGCGATTGGGCCCTGGTGGGAGGGAGGGACGGAGGGGAGGGACAGGAGGCTGCACTGCGGAGCCCAGCAGGCAGGAGGAGGGACTAGGGACGGACGTGGGATAGCAGGTGCGACCTCCACGCCCTGTCCCTGTTTAAGCTATCATCTTCACCTGCACCAGGCATCGAGCCAGGGCCTCCTGGGCTGTGGCGAGCAATGAGTTTGGGTATGCGTGCTCTGGCCTCTCTCACTTTGGGGAAATGGGTGGGGTGGGAGAATGGGGAAGTCATTTAACCTGGACCCATGCGTTAACGAGGAGGCAAAGAACTAAATCTGGGATGTGAGGTACAGAGGGGAAAAATGAAGGGGGGACAGCGGAGAGCTAGAAGAAGGAGAAGCGCTTGCTTCTTCTCCCTTGCGTGGGTCTCCTGGGTCCACTATGCGCTGCCTGCACCCCCCGAGTCTGCCGCCAGGGGTCACCAAAGCCCCGTCCTTGTGGCCGGCTCGCGGGGCGATCCCCCCCCCCTCCTTTAATTGAACTGAGCAGGGTGGGTGGGGGGGTGAGGGAAGGGGAGGAACTTGGAAAAGTCTTAAAAATCTAGACGGGGAGGGGGGATGTCAGTGCCCGCCGCAGAACATTGAGGCCCCTTCCTTCCTTCCGTCCGAGAATGTTGGGGATGGCAATCTCTTCTAGAGGGTTGATGTCATCCTTAAAATGTTGACGTCACTCAGGGACATTTTAGCATCTCAGTTAAAACCAGACTGAGGCTGCTGGATTAGCAGAATCTTCGAAAGAGGTAGGGACTTCCCAAGTCCCGCCCCCCCCCCCCCACACACACCTCAAGTCACGCTGCTGGGGGATCAGTGTGTTTTTTTGGGGGGCACCCAGAGAGCCATGGGGCCTCTTCCCCACCCCCTTACCTTAACCATCTCGGAAGCATCCCAGGCCCAGGGTGTGGGAGCCGCGGGGAGCCCGGCGGGCCCCATCTCCACCCCACCCCACTCCCCGCCCCGCGCGTAGACCTGGGAGAGAGGGAGGGGCTCGCGTGGCGCCGGAGATCCTGCGTGGACCCCGCAGCCCGCGCTTCCCGCCTCCTCCCCGCCCCCCCGCCCCCCCTTCCAGATGACAATCTGTCGGGCACCAGCGGCATGGAGGTGGACGACCGCGTGTCGGCGCTGGAGCAGCGGCTGCAGCTGCAGGAGGACGAGCTGGCCGTCCTGAAGGCGGCGCTGGCGGACGCGTTGCGTCGCCTGCGGGCGTGCGAGGAACAGGGAGTGGCGCTGCGAGCCAGGGGTACCCCGAAAGGCCGAGCACCCCCGCGTCTAGGCACCACTGCCTCCGGTATCTCGATTGGGTTTGGAAGGGAGGGGGGGCAAAGGCCGACCTGGAACTCATCTTTGCCGCCCCCCCCCATCTCTTTTAAGTATGCCAGCTCTTGAAAGGCCTGCCCACCAGGACGCCCCTCAATGGCTCGGGACCCCCACGGCGCATGGGTGGCTATGCCACCTCTCCATCTTCCCCCAAGAAGGAGGCGACCTCAGGGCGCAGGTGAGGTGCTGGGGGGGGATGGGAACTTTAGTCCGAGCTTTCTCTGATTCCTTCTGGGGTGGGGTGGGAGGAACCCCGGGCCGGGTGCATGCCCAGCACCGTGCAACCTTCCCCCCCCCCCCCCCCCGCAGTGGCCGTCGCTACCTGTCCCCGGAGCGCCTGGCCTCGGTGCGTCGCGAGGACCCCCGCAGCCGCACCACCTCCTCCAGCAGCAATTGCAGCGCCAAAAAGGAAGGGTAGGTATAGGAGTGGGGTCCCGGGGTGCGGGGCAGATAGAGTCAGGACCCTAGGCGCCGGGGCATAACCGGCAGTGGGGTGCGCTAATACAGAAGGCGAGCGCAAAGCTGGAGGTAGCTGAGCCAAAAAGAGATGCGCGGGCCGGGGGCGGGGCCAGCGCCGGGGGCGGGGCCAGCGCCAGGGCGGGGCCAGCGCCGGGGGCGGGGCCAGCGCCGGGGCGGGGCCAGCGCCGGGGGCGGGGCCCCGTCCAGCGGGACGGCAACCGCAGGAGGCGGGGCTAGGGCCTGGGCCTGCGGGTTGAGTCAGGGGAAGTTGGGGCGGGGGGGGGGGAGGGGGGAGGAAGAGGGGGGGGCCGGCCCTGGAGTAGGACTATTAAGGTAAAAGAGAGGCTCCATTTGGTCTCAGGGTGGAGTCAGGGTCCAACGCCTCAAGAGTTTCTGCTGGGAGTGGAAGAATAAATGATAGGGGTGTGGTTGGAATCTGGAGGGTGTGTCCTAGGCCGAAAACAGATCTTAGGGGTACGGTCAAAGGTTATGAGACCCTGTGGGGGACCCTGCACCCAGCTAGCGGAATCACGGCCGGGTGGTGTTCGGGGGAGGTGGGCGTGGTCACACGTGGGCGTGGCCGCACAGCCTAAGAGGCGGGGCCAACGTGGTGACTGGGGAAGGGGAACTCCGCAGGGGGACCCGACCACCGGGAAGTGCAGATGGTCTGCAGGGCCCGAGGGACAGAGAGAAGAACAGTGGGGGGGCTAGAGGGGGACAACGGGGAGAAGGAAGCTATTAGCCGCTGACCTAGTCAATCCCAGGCAGGTTAGAAGAAGGTGGGTGTGGTCACGAACGAGGGGGCGTGGCCGAGACCATAGGCGGGGCGTGATAGTTTTGGGGGCGGAGTCCTGCGCGGAGGCGTGGCCGTGTTGGCGGTGGGCGTGGTCTGGTCTTGGGGGCGCGGCTAAGGCACCACCGGCTGGACATCCTTCCAGTGCAATGATAAAAGCCGGTACCTCACGTATCAGGCACGACGAGGCCGGGAGTCGCGGCTGCGCCTCCGGCCCGGGACGCGGGGTGTGGGGGCTGCACCGTCAGCCGGGGCCTGGGGGCTCGGTGTCCCCCACCGGTCAGCGCGGAGGGCGGGGCAGGGCGCGGCGGCGGCGCGGGCGCCTCCCAGGGCCGGAAGCGGCGGAGCCCGGTTCCCGGCTCCACCCCTGTCCCCGGAGCTCCACCAGCCGCCGCCATGAGCAGCTTTGGAGCTGGGTGAGACCCTCACGCAGATCCCCCTGCTTCCCGCGGTCCCGGGGGCCTGGATCCCGGGCCCCTCGGACCCCGTAGGGACCCAAGTCCGAAAGCCTCACCGCTTTGCCCCCTCCCTGCGCAGGGAACTTTGAGGGACACGCCCCTTCGCCCTCCAAACTTATGTAGGGGGGACGCTGGGAGGGGGTGGTCGGCGAGCGCGAGAGGGGGGTGTGTGGCACCGTGCAGGTTAGGGGGGCTGGGGGGCTCCCCTCTTCCAGGATCTCCTTCCGGCCACTTCGTGCTGTGTGATCTCTGGCGATCGCTGCCTCTCTGGGCCTGTGTCTTAGGCTCTGCAAGATCAACCGAGCAAAGCACACGGCCTGCAGAGAGGCAGCGCTCCGCTCCTTACTCGGCCTCCGTCCTGCGACTGACCTCCACGGAACCCCGGGGCGGCAGGGTGCTTCCCTCCCCTTTCCGACCTACCTGCTAAAGCTCTTTCTTTTCCTTTTATTTCTGCATTGTTTCCTGGCAGTAAAACCAAAGAAGTTATCTTCAGCATGGGTGAGTGAGGAGATTAGAAGGGGCTTGGATTGAAGGCTTCTCAGGGAGAAAGGGAGGTGTTCATTACCTGGCCTTTTACCTTTCTGGCCTGAATATCTCCACTTGTTTAAAAAAAAACAGTGAAGCTGAGCCAGGCACCTGTGGCTCATATGTGTCATCCTAGCTACTCAGGAGGCTGAGATCTGAGGATCGAGGTTCAAAGCCAGCCCAGGCTGGAAAGTCTGTGAGACTCTTATCTCCAATGAACCACCAGGAAACTGGAAATGGAACTGTGGCTCAAAGTGATAGAGCCAGCAGCCCTTGAGCATAATGAGCTCAGGGACAGCACCTAAGCTCTGAGTTCAAGCCCTATGGCTGAGCAAAAAACAAAAAAACAAGTGAAGCTGGATGTAGTTTTGACCACATATAATCACAGCACTTGGGCTGAGAATAGTAAGATAGAGAAGTCGGCCTGAGGCACTTTCTCTCTCTCAAAAAAAAAAAAAAGAATTTGGTGTCATGTCTGTAATTCAAGCTTATTTAAGAGACTGAGATTTGGTGGGTTTCCAGTTCAAGGCCATCCGGACAGAAAGAAGAAAGGAAATAAAAGCTATGTGGGAATGGTTAATAGGAGGCTCATAGTCCAGGACCTCTCCCCTCCCAAACAACAAAAAAAGGCTGGGGTGTGTGGTAAGGCCGGAGTTCAGTAGGAGCAGGGCAAGGTGCTGGCCTGGCCCTGACCTCTGGGGTGTCTTGGCAGAGGAAGGCTCCGTGAAAATGTTTCTAAGGGGCCGTCCTGTGCCTATGCTGATTCCTGAGGAGCTGGCGCCCACCTACAGCCTGGACACACGCTCAGAGCTGCCTTCCTGCCGCCTCAAGCTGGACTGGGTGTATCCTTCGCTTCCATCCCTGACTCGGTGTTCATCCCCGTCAGCAGTGGGAGGAATAACCTGGGGCTGCCCGGGCCTCAAGGAGGAAGGCTGCCTCAGGGGAGAGCAGAGGAAAGCAGAGTAGTGGAGATGACCTTTTATGATTTATTAGTGCCAAGAATGTCTGGGGAGTGTTTGGGTTGTTTTGTTTTGATGTGGTCAGTGTTCATGGAGCTTAACTAACAGTGATGGGGGGAGGCAGCCGAGAGCCTCGAAAGATGATACCCAGAAAGGGTTTTTGTTCAAGAAGGAATGTATGAGGTAAGAGCAGGATCCCGAAGAACTAGAAAGAACTGAAAGGAGAGCATTCTAACCGGGCACAGTGGCGCATGCCTGTAATCACCCAGCCGCTTGGGAGCTGAAAAGCAAACCAAAAGTGGCAAAAGGAGCAAACAAATGGAGAGGGTTATTCTGATGAATATACATGCACATCTGAAAACAATTTTACAAAGTGAAAAATCTGAGGGGGTGCAGTTTAAGTCCTAGAGCCCGGGCTCTACCATTCCAAGGCTTGAGGGCCTGAATTGAGTCCCCATTGCAGGAAGATTTCAGACCCAGGGTGTAGCAGGTGCAGGCTTCTGGGGCCAGTGAGCTTGGTAGTGTACTAAGCTCTAAGGAAGTCCAGCAGAGGCTGCCTTCCTCTCTTTGGCCTTGGTTTCTCCTCTGCCTGAGTCGGGAAGGCTGGCAGAATGCCTTGGCATTATGGGAGTCAAGAGATTTCTGCAGTGAGCTGGAAGCATCCATGGGAACTGGGCTTGATTGTCTGGATCGGCTGGCTCAGCAGCTGAGAGAGTTGGCTGAGGCCACAGAAATCTGTTCCACACCTCAGCTCGCCCTTCTCCACAGCCACCGCGGGATGGGGTGGTTTTTAGTAGAATGGACAGAGAAGCCTAACACAGGTGAAGAAATGTAGGGAATGGAAAACAGCCAAGTATAAAGGTCCTTGTGTGTGTGTGTGTGTGTGTGTGTGTGTGTGTGTGTGTGTGTGTTAACATATGCACTTGAGCTGGGTTCCAGGTGTCTCACACCTGCAATCCTATTTAAGATGCTGAGATCTGAGGATCATGGTTTAAAGCCACAAGGGCAGAAAGGTCTGTATGATTCCAATCTCCAATTAACACTTCCAGCAGAAAGCTAGAAGTGCAGGCATGACTCAAGTGGTAGAGAACTAGCCTTAAATCAAAAAGCTGAAGAGCAGTGTCCAGGCTGTGAGAGCTCCAGGACACACACACACACACACACACACACACACACACACACACACACACGGCACACGAAGCATGAAATTTGAAGCTGGGCACTGGTGGCTCACACCTATAATCCTAGCTACTCATGAGGCTGAGATCTGAGGATCAAGGTTCAAAGCCAGCTGAGGCAGGAAAGTCTGTGAGACTCTGATCTCTGATCTCTGATCTACTTCCAGAAAACTGGAAGTAGAGCCGTGGCTCAAAGTGGTAGAACGCTAGCCTTGAACAAAAGAACTCAGAGACAGCCAGGTGCTGGTAGCTCACGCCTGTAATCCTAGCTACTTAGGAGGCTGAGATCTGAGGTCTGAGGATCACAGTTCAAAGCCAGCCTGGGCAGGAAAATCTGTCAAACTCTTATCTCCAATAAACCACTCAGAAAAACGGAAGTGGTGCTATGGCTCAAGCAGTAGAGCGCTCACCTTGAGCTGAAGAGCGCAGGGATAGTGCCTAAGTCCAGAGTTCAAGCCCCACGACCGACCAAAAAAAAAAAAAAAACAATTCAAAGACAAGACCCAGGCCCTGAGTTCAAGTCCCATGACCCCCCCCCCCCAAAAAAAGACATGGATTTGCCTTGTGGGGAGACAGTGGATTTGCTCCCTGTGGGGCTGAAGAGCAGAGCAGGCCAGGCTGCTGGCCAATGACCAATCGCTGAGGGCCTTGTTGAATGGTGTCAGCCACAATGGAACCCAGGCTCCTTAACCGACCCCTGGGCATCTCCAGTTACGGCTACCGAGGCCGTGACTGCCGGGCCAACCTCTACCTGCTGCCCACTGGGGAGGTGGTGTACTTCGTGGCCTCCGTGGCCGTGCTGTACAGTGTGGAGGAGCAGAGGCAGCGCCACTACTTGGGACACAATGATGACATCAAATGGTGAGTGAGGGCCGGGCCATCCGGCCTGGGTCCGCAAGTCTCCTCCGCAAAGCCAGCAGCTGCCTCCTGCAGAATCTACGAGAACAATGTGGATTGACTGTATTTCCAATGATCACTTCATGCCAGGCATGGAGGTGCATGCCTGGAATCCCAGCGTGGTTTTTTTTGTTTGTTTGTTTGATTTTGTGCCAGTACTGGGGCTTGAAGAGCCTCTCACTTTCAGCTTTTTCACTCAAGGCTGGTGCTCTGCCACTTGAACCACACAGCTCCACTTCTGGCTTTGGGGTGGTTCATTGGAGGAAAGAGTCTCATGAACTTTTCTGCACACTATGACTTTGAACCAGGATCCTCAGATCTCAGCCTCCTGAGTAGCTAGGATGACAGGCGTCAGCCACTGGCAACCGGCTTAGAATCCCAGAATTTAGGAGGTGGAGGTAGGAAAATCAGAAGTTTCAGAAAAAACTCACAAACCAAAAAACAGACACTGTAGCTTATGCCTGTAATTCTAGCTAACAAGATGTAAGGATTGCGGTTAAAAGTCCGCTGGGAATGTGGCTCAGTGGTAGCGTCCTTGCCTAGCATGCATGAAGCCCTGGGTTTGATTCCTCAGTACCACATACTCAGAAAAAGCTGGCCTGGCTCCAGTGGCTCACGTCTGTCAGCCTAGCTACTCAGGAGGCTGAGATCTGAGGATCATGGTTCAAAGCCAGCCTGGGCAGGAAAAGTCCGAGACTCTTTTTTTTTTTTTTGGTCCGGTCATGGGGCCTGAACTCTGGGCCTGGGCGCTGTCCCTCAGCTCTTCAGCTCAAGGCTAGCGCTCTACCACTTGAGCCACGGCGCCACTTCCGGCTTTTTTTCTTTTTGCTTATGTGGTGCTGAGGAATCGAACCCAGGGCCTCAGGCATGCCAGGCAAGCGCTCTACCACTGAGCCACCTTCCCAGCCCCCCCTGAGACTCTTATCTCCATTGAACCACCAGAAAACCGGAAGTGGCGCTGTGGCTCAAGTGGTAGAGCGCTAACCTTGAGCTGAAGAGCTGAGGGATAGCGCCCAGGCCCAGAGTTCAAGCCCCATGACAAAAATAAAAATCAAAAAATAAAATGGTTTCCCCCTCAGGGAGGCTGGAGCCCTGTGGGCCTCTGTGTTCAAGCCTCAGGCCTGAGCCTCCCCTGCTGGGATCTGAGCAGCCAATCAACACTTAGTGACTAAACAGCTCTGTCAACCGGTTTGTGGCCGGAGTGGCCAGCATCGTGACCCCAGCCTGCTACAAGAGGGGTCCTCGTGAGCCCCTCTCGCAGACCCTGTCCATCCGTCCCTCTCTCCTCAGCCTGGCGGTCCACCCAGACATGGTCACCATCGCCACAGGGCAGGTGGCGGGCACCACGCGCGAAGGGAAGGTAATGGCGGCAAGAGGACTGGCAGAGAAGAGGGCGGGACGGGGGAGGCAGCGCAAGCCCAGGTAACAGGCCTCCCTTTCCTGCAGCCACTGCCGCCCCACGTTCGCATCTGGGACTCAGTTTCCCTCTCCACCTTACACGTGCTGGGCCTGGGGGTGTTTGACCGCGCCGTGTGCTGCGTGGGTTTCTCCAAGTCGGTAAGTCCTTGCCCTGACCCCAACCCATCCATCATCTCACTTAAATGCATCTCACCAAGTTCCCCAAGGCCAATGGAGGCCAGGCTGCGGGCATGGGATGTGGGGAATGGGGGACCCTGACCCCCCTCTTCTCTCTCCTCCTGTGCAGAATGGGGGCAACCTGTTGTGTGCAGTGGACGAATCCAACGATCACGTGCTCTCTGTGTGGGACTGGGCCAAGGAGACCAAGATAGTGGATGGCAAGGTGGGGTGGCTGCCCTCCCTGCTCTCCTGGGGCCACGCGTAGGCATTTTGCCATTGGGTAGACTTCGGGTCCTGCCTTGGGCATCGGCTGCTGTGTGGCTTTAGAAAAATGACTTTGGCTCTCTGTGCCTCCCAGGCCTCATCTGTAAAATGAGGACTATTGTCTCTATGGGCGGTGGTCTTACTTTATAGGCAAGGCCTGGAAAGGTCTAGGTCGGAGCCTACTGGTTAGGAAAGGAGGAATGACTGAGAGGTGGGGACCCGGAGTTAGCCTCGGGTGAGCTGTGTCGCCGTAGGTCAGTAACTTGCCCTCTCTGAGCCTCACTTCACGTTCAGTGAGCCTGGGGTACTCACGTGAACTAATAATGGTTGGACAGTGCTCGCCGGGTGCATAGCTCAGGGTAGGGGTTGTCAGAGTGGTGGCTGCTGGGCAGCTGGAGATGATGGTGATGATCTTCTGCCCGCCCCTGCCTCAGTTTCCCCACACAAAGGAAAAGTATGGGCAAGCAGGTTGTACAGCACCTGCGCCCCCCTCCCCCGCTGTCCCGGTCATGCTGTGGGAGGTGGGCATGGGAGTGCCGGAGGCTCTAAGGTCCTCATGCCGGTGTCCCCTCCCCCCCCACAGTGCTCCACCGAGGCCGTGCTGGTGGCCACCTTCCACCCCACGGACCCCACGCTGCTCATCACCTGCGGGAAGTCCCACATCTACTTCTGGAGCTTGGAGGGGGGCAGCCTGAGCAAGCGGCAGGGCCTCTTCGAGGTGAGTGCTGGCAGCGGGGGTGGGGGGGTGGGGGGGAGCAGGTGAGTCTCAGGTGCCCCCAGAACTCAGTTTTTTCATTGTTTTTTGTTGGTCGTGGGGCTTGAACTCAGGGCCTGGGCGCTGTCCCTCAGCTCTTCAGCTCAAGGCCAGCATTCTACCACTTGAGCTACAGCACCACTTCTGGTTTTCTGGTGGTTTCTTGGAGATAAGAGTCTCACAGACTTTCCTGCCCAGGCTGACTTTGAACCATGACCCTCAGATCTCAGCCTCCTGAGTGGATAGGATGACAGGCGTGAGCCACCGGCGCCCACCCAGAACTCAGTTTTATTGTCCCCACGGCAGGAAGATTTCTCCTGACCGCTCGAGTGTGAGGACTTGGTGGGGTAAAGGACACAGCTTGGAGGGAGAGGGAAGGGGCGCAGGAAGCAGGAAGGGGGGGCAGGAAGCGAGCCCCAGGGGGGTCAGGACTTCCAGTGGGAGACTGGGGGCGAGGCACCCTCCTACCAAACGCATCACAGCCCTGCCTCAGTGGCACGCTGACACCTTCCCTTCTCTTTCTCCCTTAGAAACACGAGAAACCAAAGTACGTGCTGTGTGTGACGTTTCTGGAGGGCGGCGACGTGGTCACTGGAGACTCCGGAGGAAACCTCTATGTGTGGGGCAAAGGTCAGCGTCACTCAGCTGCTTTGTCCCCAGTGCTGTCTCCCAGACACCCTCGTCACTGCTTCCTTTTCTTTCTTTCTTTCTTTCTTTTTTTTTTTTTCTCAGTTGTGGGGCTTGAACTGTGGGCCTGGGCACCGTCCCTGAGCTCTTCAGCTCTAGGCTAGTACTCTACAGAGGAGTGGATGGATGGATGGATGGATGGATGGATAAGTGGATGGATGAGTAGATGGATAGATGATAGAAGGATCAGTGAGTTCATGGATGGATGAGTGGAAGATGGATGGATGGATGGATGAACAGATGAATAAGTAGATGGATGGGTAGATGGATGAATTGATGGGTGGTTGTGTGGGTGGATGGATGGATGGATAAACCGATGGATAGATGGATGGATAGAACAGATAGATGGAGCAATAGATAGATGAGTGGATTGATGGATGGGGTGGATGGATGGGTAGATGAATGGATGGATAAGCAGATAGATGGAAGAATATATGGATGGATAGATTGATGGGTAGGTAGATGGATGGATGGTAGATGAATAGATAAGTGGATGATGGATAAGTGGTGAATGAATGGATGAGTGGATGATGGATGAGTAGATGGGTAGATGATGGATGGATGGATGAGTGGATGATGGATGATTGATGGATGGGCAAATGGATGGATGTATGTGTGGATGATGGGTGGATGGATGGGTATATGGCTGGATAAATGGTAAATGAGTGGCTTGATGGATGAGGACATCAGTGGGTGTATGACAGGTTGACCGTTGGAGGGAGAGGTGGCTGACTGGCTGGATGTATGGATGAATGGATGGGTGCATGGACAGGTAGATGGACAGATGAACAGACCAGTGGGCCAGTGAGCGGCCTGGATAAAGTGGATGGTGGATGAGTCCAAGGGTGTGCATGAAAATGTCAGTAGGGATGATTTAGCGGATGGATGATAAGGTCTTGGATCTGGGGTGGGTGGGGACGCAGAGCAGATGGCTGATAGGTCAGTGAGTGAGCTCATGTCTGCAATCCCAGCTATTCAGGAGGCTGAACTCTGAGAATCGAGGTTTGAAGCCAGCCCAGGCAGGAAGGTCAGTGAGACTCTGTTCTCCAGTTAACCACCCTAACCCCAAAAGTGGAGTTGTGACTCAAGTGGTAGAGTGGCAGCCTTGTACACAAAAGCAAAGGGACAGTACCCAGGCCCTGAGTTCAAGCCCCAGGACAGACACCAAAAATAAATTACCTGGGTGCCAGTATGCCTGTCATCCTAGCCACTCAGGAGGCTGAGATCTGAGGATCAAGGTTCAAAGCCAGCCTGGGCAGGAAAGTCCCTGAGACTCTTTTTTTTGGGGGGGGGGAGGGGTTAGTCGTGGGGCTTGAGCTCTGGGCCTGGGCGCTGTCCCTCGGCTCTTCAGCTCAAGGCTAGCGCTCTACCACTTGAGCCACAGCGCCACTTCCAGTTTTCTGGTGGTTTATTGGAGATAAGAGTCTCATGGAGGGGGCCTGGGAAGGTGGCTCAGTGGTAGAGCGCTTGCCTTGCATGCATGAGGCCCTGGGTTCGATTCCTCAGCACCACATAAGCAGAAAAAAAAGCCATAAGTGGCGCTGTGGCTCAAGTGGTAGAGCGCTAGCCTTGAGCTGAAGAGCTGAGGGACAGCGCCCAGGCCCAGAGTTCAGGCCCCATGACCGACAAATAAATAATAAGTAAATAAATGGAAAAGCCCAGCGATGGACCCCTGGGGGGGGTCAGTCCCCACGCTGACCTCAGCCCCCTAATCCCGCAGGTGGAAACCGCATCACGCAGGCCGTGCCGGGCGCCCACGAGGGCGGCGTGTTCGGGCTGTGCGCCCTGCGGGGCGGCACGCTGGTGTCCGGAGGGGGCCGCGACCGCCGCGTGGTGCTCTGGGGCTCCGACTACAGCAAGCTGCAGCAGGTGGAGGTGAGGCGGGGAGGGTGCCCCCTTCCCTACCACTCCCCACCCACCCGAGACCCGCACCCCTGTCCACACACACGTCCTTCTCCACCCTCCCCAGGTCCCCGAGGACTTCGGCCCCGTGCGCACGGTGGCGGAGGGCCGCGGGGACACGCTGTACGTGGGGACCACGCGGAACTCCATCCTGCAAGGCTCGGTGCACACCGGCTTCTCGCTGCTGGTGCAGGTGAGTCGGTCTCTGCCTCCTTCCCCTCCAATCCGGACCTCTGTTTTATGGTGCCAGTCCTGGGGCTCGAACTCAGGGCCTGGACGCAGTGTCCCTTAGCTTTTATGTTCACCCTACCAGTTGAGCCACAGCTCCACTTGTGCTGTTCTGGTCGTTGATTGGAGATAAGAGTCTCACAAGATTTTTCTGGGCTCAGATCTCAACCTCCTGAGTAGCTAGGATTATTCTTTGTCTATCTGTCTGTCTGTCTGTCTGTCTGTCTCTCTCTCCCCCCCCCCTTCCTTTTCCTAGTGCTGAGGATGGAAACCAAGAGTTTAGCACCTACCCCCTGAGCCACACACCAACATTTTATCCATATTGTATGTGTATGTGTGTGGTTTATTTTATTTTTGTTTTTGCCAGTCCAGGGGCTTGAACTCTGGGTCTGAACATGCATGGTTCCTGAGCTCCTTTTGCTCAAGGCTAGCATTCCACTTGATCCACAGCTCCACATCTGAGTTTTTCTGTGATTAATTGGAGATAAGAATCTCATGGACTTAGCCTGGCACTGGTGGTTCACGCCTGTAATCCTAGCTACTCAGGAGGCTGAGATCTGAGGATTGCGGTTCAAAGCCAGCCCAGGCAGGAGAGACCATGAGACTCCTATCTCCAATAAACCACCAGAAAACCGGAAGTGGCACTGTAGCTCAAGTGGTAGAGCACTCGCCTTGAGCTGAAGAGCTGAGGGACAGTGCCCAGAGTTCAAGCCCCACGACCGATCAAATACAAAAAAAAAAAAAAAAGAATCTCATGGACTTTTCCACCCAGGCTGGCTTCAAACCGTGATCCTCAGATCTCAGCCTCCTGAGTGGCTGGGATTACAGGTGTGAACCACCAGTGCCTGGCTTTATATTGTTTTAGAGACAGATCTTGCTAAATATGCCCAGGCTGCCTTTGCCTTCTGAGTACCTGAGGTTTACAAGCAGGCATGTCTCCCCACTCACCCCTTCTCCTTTAGGTGAACAAATCCCTTTTCACATCACCTGCTCTCACCTCAGAATCTCACCTGGTCCTGGTCCAGGATCACCCCTCCCCACCACTCCCCCATGACCTCTCATTGTGCAAAGGGGAAAGCAGAGTGGAGGGAGGAAAGGACAGGGTTTGCACTGAACCTCACGCATGCGCAAGAGGCAGCCTCTTGTGGAAGAGGTCCTGTTGGGGAAAGGTCTGGCCTGGGTGTGTGTGGGGGGGAAGGGGCGTTGCTAGGAACTGCAGCACTTGTCTCTATCATCAGAGGTGGCTGGAGAAGGGCCATATTGCAGGTTCCATTCTGCCATTTTTTCCTTCCCACCAGGGTCACGTGGAAGAGCTATGGGGCCTGGCCACACACCCAAGCCGGGCACAGTTTGTGACATGCGGGCAGGATAAGCAGGTGCATCTGTGGAGCTCAGAGTCCCACCAGCCCCTGTGGAGCAGAACCATTGAGGTATGGGCTGTTGGGGGAGTGACACCCCATTCCACACCAGAATTCAGAGCTCAGTGAAGCATGAGGTAGGAGCCACACAAGGACCTTTAAGCAGAAGGTGTTTAATACAGGGAGATGAATGGGCCACGCTCTACCACTGAGCTACACTCCTGGCCTTTACATTATCCTTTTTCCTTTGATTCTGACACTACTGGGGTTTGAAGGACCTTTGTACTTGCTAGGCATGAGCTGGGTAAATTGAGCCATGCCCACTCGAGCTGTGTCCCCAATTCCTCTATCTTACTTGGATATTGTATACCAAAGTCTTAAAAATTATATATACATATATAATATATGTATGCATGTATATAAATATATATGAGTGCCAGTGTCTCACACCTGTAATCCTAGCTACTCAGGAGACTGAGCTCTGAGGATCACAGTTCTAAGCCAGCCCAGGCTGAAAAGTTCCTGTGAGACTCTTATCTCTTAACCACTAGAAAACAAGAAATGGATCTGTGGCTCAAAGTGGTAGAGCACTAGCCTTGAGCAAAAGAGCTCAGGAACAGCACCCAGGCCCTGAGTTCAAGCCCCATAACTGACAAAAAAAAAAAAAGAAGGATATAGCTGGGCACTGGTGGCTCACATCTGTAATTCTAGTTACTTAAGAGGCTAAGATCTGAGGGTGCCAGTTCAAAGCCAGCCTGGGCAGGAAAGTTTGTGAGACTCTTATTTCCAACGAATCATCAAAGAGCCAGAAGTGGAGCTGTGGCTCAAGTGATAGAGCTCAAGCCTTGAGTGAAAAAGCTCAGGGATGGTGTCCAGTTCTTGAGTTCAAACCCCAGGACACGAAGGAAGGAAGGAAGGAAGGAAAGAAGAGCAATAGAGCAGCAGAGACAGGAGGGATGTTTTCAGTTCAGGGCAACATGCTCCATGAATAGGGAATGGTTTCCAGGGCGCCTTGCAGCAGTAGTTTCCTGGAAGCTAGTGGAGGGAGGAGAGACCCCCATGGAAGGCTGAGGGCCAGGGGGAGGGGCAGGGGAATGCTGGCCCCAGGGCCTCAGCTCTGCGTCTTGGCTGCCTTGGCAGGACCCCGCCCACTCGGCCGGCTTCCACCCCAGTGGCTCTGTGCTGGCTGTGGGCACGGTGACTGGCAGGTAAACGAATCTGGAATGTGGGGAGGGAGGGCTTCCCTACTCTCCCCATCCCCATCCCCTTGTTAATTAGGCATCTACTGTTTACCAGACCCTGATCCCTCAACAGTCTCTCCCTCTTCGTTGGGGGTCCCCCTAGCTCCCTGCCCCTCCCAGCCTGCTCAGCTAACCTCTCTTTCCCCTCCATGCCCTTCTCCTTACAGATGGCTGCTGCTGGACACGGAGACCCATGACCTGGTGGCTATCCACACCGATGGCAACGAGCAGATCTCAGTGGTCAGCTTCTCCCCAGGTGGGTGCAGGCCTGGGACCCACCCCCCCCCCGCCCTCCCCAGGGGCTGGGGGAAGGCTCAGAGCCAAGGCAGCCAGGCCTGGGCGGGGCAGGGAGTATAGGGGTGGGGCCTGGGTGATGGAGGGGCGGAGTCTGGGAACAAAGGGGGCGGAGTCTGGGTGCCTCCTCATAGCCCCTCCCCTCCCCCAGACGGGGCGTACCTGGCCGTGGGCTCCCACGACAACTTGGTGTACCTGTACACGGTGGACCAGGGCGGCCGCAAGGTCAGCCGCCTGGGCAAGTGCTCGGTGAGTGGGCCGTGGCCCCCAGCCCGCGCCGACACCCCGCCCAGAGGGTGCACAATTAACCGATTTTCTACCTCAAGGGACAAACAGCTTCGACACTCAAACCTGATCCTGTCCTGACTGCATCAAGGCCTCTGAGCCCGGCCGCTCATCCCTTCCTGTGTTCTGAGCCCGCCCCTTCGTGTAGCCCTGCCCCTCGCTTTATAAGCCCGCCCCTTCGTGTGGCCCCGCCCCCTACCTTATAAGCCCGCCCCTTCGTGTGGCCCCGCCCCATGCCTTATAAGCCCGTCCCTTCGTATGGTCCCGGCCCTTACACTGCAAGCCCCCCCTTTGTGTGGCCCCGCCCCTTGCCCGATAAGCCCACCCCTTCAAGTGATCAGTTCCTCCCACCACAAGCCTACCCCCTATCCTGTGGCTCCGCCCCTCGCACTTAAGTCCCTCTTGTGATAGGTTCATGCCTTCGTGTAACCCTGCCCCTTACGCCATAGGCCTGCCCCTTGGTGTAGCCCCGCCCCTTGCGTCCTAAGACCGCCCCCTGTGCAGCCCGGTCCATGTGTTCTAACTTGCCCCGCGATTCTCAGCACATTGTTGTCAGCCCGCCCATCAGGCCCCCTCCACCCTAAAGGTCTGTCTATCCGGCCACTCGCCCTCCCCTCCGCCCCCACTGTGTTCTCACCCCACCTTTGTTATTTTTGGCTTGCACCCTTCCTGATCTCATCCTGCCCCCCTTTCCTTGGTTCTGCCCACTCCGGCTCTAAACTCAGCCCCTTGTGCCCCCCCCTCAGGGCCATTCCAGCTTCATCACCCACCTGGACTGGGCCCAAGACAGCAGCTGCTTTGTCACCAACTCCGGGGACTATGAGATTCTGTACTGTGAGTGAGCTGAGACTCAAAGCCATCTCCTTCCTTGGTCTCATTTGCATACGATTTGCATAAGACCTCCCTGAGCTCAGTGGCTTTGTGTCTCCTGGCTCAGTATTCAGGGTCTGTCCTTACTTGGAACTCAAGGGCTGCTGCTCTGATTTCAGCCAATTCTTCCCTTTTCTGGCTGAGAGGGGTGCAGTTTCTGGGGGTGTGGGGAGACAGAACCCAGCCTTCATTCAGAGACATGGGAAGACCTCTGGAATCTTCTGTTTCTTTCTGCCTTGAACCTCAGTTGTCTGTTATGTGGGAAATGTTTGGGTTCTGGCAGAGTTCTGGAAGTCCTCAACACCTCCCTGATTTACTCCTTCAGGGGACCCAGCCACCTGCAAGCAGATCACCAATGCAGATGCAGTGAGAAACGTTGAGTGGGTCACTGCTACTTGTGTCCTGGGGTTTGGGGTATTTGGTAAGTTCTGGAATGAAGGTGATCTCAATTGAAGACTGGGGTTCCAAGAAATATCCCAGATCGGTCGCTCTTTCTCCCTCTCTCTTTCTCTCTCTCTCTCTCTCTCCCCATCCTGGGGCTTGAACTCTGGGCCTGGGCACTGACTCTGAGCTGCTTTTGCTCAAGGCCAGCGCTCAACTACTTGAGCCACTGGTGCCACTTCCAGCTTGAGTAGTTTATGGAGATAAGTCTCATAGAGTTTCCTGCCCAGGCTGGCTTTGAACCTCGATCCTCAGCTTTCACCCTCCTGAGTAGCTGGGATGACAGGCATGAGCCACCAGTGCCCAGCTTCACTGTCTTTTCTTGGTTACTTCCCAGGGTGGGGATCTCCCTCCTTCACTGTGGGGGGACAGGGTAGAGAGAACCCTTCCAGTTATAATGAAGTGAGACCTCCCATGCTGGAGGGGGGTACCCACACAAGTCACCCCACACGACTAGAGCATCTGTGTGTGGACCCTGCGAGTGGGGCACCCCTGGGACACTGCAATGACCGTGACTGCCCCAACCCTACTTTCCTGGACAGTGACGAGCTAGAGTGGGAAGTTCTGAGGCAGGGAACTTGAACAGGGGACATATACCCTGGTGTAAGAGGGAGTCAAGGAAGGCTTCCTGGAGGAAGAGACCTGTGAGCTAGGACCTAGAGGATGCAGGCAGGAGAGTGAGGTGGTTCTGTGTGGTACAGAGAGAGTCAGACCTGCTTCCTCAGGAAGCCATCGACTAGGGCCTGCTTTTCCTGGGGGTCCCCTGGCCCTGGCTGACTCTGGTCTCCCCAACTCTTCCCGCAGGGGTGTGGCCAGAAGGAGCAGATGGTACCGACATAAACGCCGTAGCCCGTTCCCACAACAGAAAGCTGCTGGCTTCTGCAGATGACTTTGGCAAAGTCAGCTTGTTTAGCTACCCCTGCTGTCAGCCTCGAGTGAGTCTGGAGGGCTGTGTGTGTGTGTGTGTGTGTACATATGTACATGCATGCCAGGGTTTGAACTGAGAGCCTTGTACTTGCTCAGTTTGCTTGCTCATTTGTGCCATACCTCTAGTCTAGCATGTTGCCAGTTATTTTGCGGATAGAGACTAGTAAATTTGTCTGCCCAGCTGTTCTTGAACAGTGATCCTTCAGAGCTCAGCATCCTGAGTAGCTAGGATTGCAGACATGAGCCACCAGCTTCTGGACCTGTTTGTTTTTGTGGTAGTACTGAGATTTGAACTCAGAGCCTGGCACCTGGTAAACAGGTAGTTTACCATTTCAGCACTTTTTTTTTTTTTTTGCAAGTCCTGCGGCTTGAACTCAGGGCCTGGGCGCTGTCCCTGAGCTTCTCTTGCTCAAGGCTAGCACTCTACCACTTGAGCCACAGCAACACTTCTGGCTTTTTCTGTGTATGTGGTACTGAGGAATGGAACCCAGGGCTTCATGAATGCTAGGCAAACTAAGCCACATTTCCAGCCCCCAGCCCTCCCCTCTTTTTTTTTTTTTTTTTTTTGTCAGTTGTGGGGCTTGAACTCTGGGCCTGGGCGCTGTCCCTGAGCTCTTCAGCTCAATGCTGGCACTCTACCACTTGAGCCATTTCTGGCTTTTTCTGTGTATGTGGTGCTAAGGAATCAAACCAACGCCTCATGCATGCCAGGCAAGCGCTCTACCACTGGGCCACCTTCCCAGCCCTACCCCACCCCTCTTTTTTTGGTCAGCAGTGGGGCTTGAACTCGGCCTGGGCGCTGTCCCTCAGCTCTTCAGCTCAAGGTGAGCACTCTACCACATGACCATCTGTGCCACTTCTAGTTTTCTGAGTGGTTTGTTGGGGATAAGAGTCTCATGGACTTGCCTGCCCTGGCTGGCTTTGAACCATGATCCTCAGATCTCAGCCTCCTGAGTAGCTAGGATGACAGGTGTGAGCCACCAGCGCCCGGCCTACCCTTTTTTTAAAGTAGAATCTGGTGGGATTTTTGCCTGAGGCCAGCCTATAGTATGATACTCACATCAACGCCTCCTGTATAGCTGGACTTACAGGCATGCGCCACCATTCTTGGCATCGCATTTTCCATAAGGCAATTAAAAAAAAAAAAAAAAAAACAAAAGACTTCACACTTATTGAGAGCTTCACAAAGGAGATGTGGGGTTGCCTTGTTGCCCTCTGACCCTTTCCTCATGTCTCCCCCCCTCCCCACCCTGACACAGGCCCTCAGCCACAAGTACGCTGGACACAGCAGCCACGTGACGAACGTGGCCTTCCTGTGGGACGACAGCCTGGTCCTGACCACAGGTGGCAAGGACACCAGTGTGCTGCAGTGGAGGGTGCTCTGAAGCCGGGGGTGGGGGGCGGGGGGGAATGGGCGGTGGGGACACATGGCACAGAATCAGGCGGCAGGGCGGAGTTCTATTTTCGGGAGATATCTATTGCTAAATAGAGTAATATATATCCAGAGTGTGTCTATAGCAGAGGGGCTTATGGGGGTGCAAAGGTGAAGTAACAGAAGTCTCTATTTATCGGGGTGGGAAGAGGGGTTACTATGGTTTGTGGGAGTCATTGGGTTTGGGTTGGGGGTATTTTTTTTAAGTTTATTCTTTTATATATATATATACACATATATACATATATATATATATCATCCAAAAATAAAGACACGTGCACCAAATTGAGGAGCCAGGTTTCATATATTTGCTGTGTGCAGAGAATGTAATGACTGTCAGTGTTTGCTTTTTTTTTTTTTTTAATGTGTGTGTGTGTGTGTGTGTGTGTGTGTGTGTGTATGTGTGTGTGTGACAGAGAGAGATAAAGAATTATTTATTTAAGGCTGGGAAGGTGGCTCAGTGGTAGAGTGGCTTGCCTTGCATGCCTGAGGCCCTGGGTTCGATTCCTCAGCACCACATAAGCAAAAAGAAAAAAGCCGGAAGTGGCTCTGTGGCTCAAGTGGTAGAGCGCTAGCCTTGAGCTGAAGAGCTGAGGGACAGCGCCCAGGCCCAGAGTTCAGGCCCCACGACCGGACCCAAAAAAAAAAATTTTATTTATGTCGGTCATGGGGCTTGAACTCCGGGCCTGGGCGCTGTCCCTCAGCTCTTAGGCTCAAGGCTAGCGCTCTATCACTTGAGCCACAGCACCACTTCTGGTTTTCTAGTGGTTTATAGGAGATAAGAATTTTACGGACTTTCCTACCCAGGCTGGCTTTGAACCGAGATCCTCAGATCTCAGCCTCCTGAATAGCGAGGATTACAGGTGTGAGCCACCAGCGCCTGGCTGATAAAGAACTTGACCCAACTTGAACTTCCATCCTCCCAATCTCGGGCCTCTTTGTCTCTGTGCCCTCCCCCCTCCCCCACTCTGCCCAGCCACACACACACACACACCAGGTAGCTGAGATTACAGGCATGAACCATTTTCCCTATAACCCGGCCTGGCTTTGAACCCAGATCCTCAGATCTCAGCCTCCTGAGTAGCTAGGATGACAGGTGTGAGCCACTGGTGCCCAGTTTGTTTTTGTATTTTAAATCAGAAGTTGTCCAACTTTGTGCAAAGAGCCAGCTAGTGACTTTTTTTTTCTTTGTGAGCTGTTGGCGTCACCAACAATTTTGATATAGTTAAACAACCACAGACTGCAAATACAAATGAGCTGGACTCTGTCCAGTTAACACTATTTATGGAAACTGAAATTCAGATGCCTCATCATTTCCCTGGGTCGTGAAATACTAATGTTTTGATGTCTTTGGAATCACTTAAAATGATAAAATCTATTCTTGGCTATACAAAACGAGACATAGAACCTGGCCTGCAGTGATTGTTTGCCGACTTGTTGCTTTAAATAGATGGGAGCATACAGTAAGAACCCCGTGTGCTCTGTCTTCTTTCAACGAGCAATTTTTCTAAGCTCTCTGCCCCATGTATCAGATAAGGCTGTAAAAATTCAATGTCTTAAGTTGCATGCAGTTAGGACGGTGCCTGGCACAGAAAAATCTAAAAATGTTGGGTATGATTATGTTGTATCATAATCAAACATTCCAGCAGGCCACCAGCTGAGTTCAAAGCCAGAGGGAGGAAGTCTCCTGTAACCCAAGCATCTCCAGGAGGAATCTGATTGGCTCAGCTCCAGTCCTGTGGCCACCCTTGAGCCAATGGCTGGTGGTCCACACAATGGGTTCTTTTGATTGGCCAGTTGTGGGCCACGTGTCCATCTTTTTGAGTCAATGGGATTAGTACAATATTTCTGGGACTGACAGGAGGCACCTTAGACCAGCAACCTCAGCATATTTTTGTCACTGTGGGTGACACCCCACAGTTCAGACTCAGTGTCTCTGGGAATATAATGATTATCAGCAGGACTAGGTTCAGTTGGCTCACGCCTGTAATCCTAGCTACACAGGACGCCGAGACCTGATAATCACCAGTCAGAGCCAGTCCCAGCAGACAAATCTGAGACTCTTATTTCCAGAAATGGAGCCATGGCTCAAGTGGTAGAGTACTAGCCTTGAGCAAAAAGCTAAGGCACAGCAGCCCAAGCCCTGAGTTCAAGCCCCAAAATACTGGTATACACTATACAAAAAAAAAAAAAAACAACTCCATTATCTACTGATTTAAAACAAACCCAGAAAATCAATGAGTTAAAAGGACCACTCAGGGTTCTAAAGTTAACACATGTTAACTTTAGATTTTAATAACCCTGGCTGGACAGACAGAGTCGAAGCAGGCATCTGGGAAGGCTTCCTGGAAGAGACACAGACCTCAACAGAGAAGGGTCAGGAATTAATCAGGTAAAAAACACCATCCCACAGAGAAACGGAACACTCACTGTCCGCTGCCTCTTTTCCCTTTGTTCTCCCAATAAATATTAGCAAGCTACCTTGGAGCCCTAACCTAGGCTTGACCATTCTAAGGTGTCTCTGTTAGGGATGGATCTGCCTCCCTGTCACTGGCTCCAGCCTCTGAGTTGGGAAGGGCCAGGGTTATTGTGCCACTGTGTAACTTACATGGCCTAGTACTAGGCCAGATACAGAATCAAAACTCAGGGAGTCTTTGTTGAATGAATATTAGAACAGTCAAAAGAGTTAGAAGTATGCTACACACAAGAAGTTAAAGTTTAAACTCCTCAACACCTCCCCCCATTCCCACCCCCTCCCCAGGCTTCAGAGGCTGATTTTGATTTTCGGTCCCTCTTGTGTCAAAGCCTTTCATCTCTCCCCAAAACACCCACACCCCATCCATGCTTTCCTCCCCAATTTTCTTTTGTTTCTCTTTTCTTTTTCTTTTGGTTGGTCGTGGGGTTTGAACTCGGGCCTGGGCACTGTCCCTCAGCTCTTCAGCTCAAGGCGAGCGCTCTACCACTTAAGCCACAGCGCCACTTCCGGTTTTCTGGTGGTTAATTGGAGAGTCTCACAGATTCTCTTGCCTGAGCTGGCTTTGAACCACGATCCTCAGATCTCAGCCTCCTGAGTAGCTAGGATTACGGCATGAGCCACCGGCACCCAGCTTTTTTTTGTTGTTGTTGTTAGTTGTGGGACTCAGAGCCTGGGCACTGTCCCTGAGCATCTTTATACTCAAGGCTAGTGCTCTACCAGTGACCACAGCGCCACTTCCGATTTCTGAGTGGTTAATTGGAGATAAGAATCTCACAGGGACTTTTCTGCTCAGGCTGGCTTTGAACTACCACCCTCAGATCCCAGACTCCTGAGTAGCTCGGAATGTCTGGCAAGTGTGGCTTTGCATTAGGGCTCTGTCTCTATCTCCCCCTGGTGGCCGGAACCAGAGTCAGTCGTGCATGGAAAATGATGGCTGGGAAATTAAGAGGGATGAGTACTGGAGAGTCTTTGGTGTCCCCCAAGGGCTCTTTTTTCCCTCTTGTAGCTGGACGGTGGGGAGAGTCCATGAGAGTCCCTTGCACTCCAGCTTCTGCATTGGTTCTGAGGACCAGAGGCAGGCCAGGAAACCCTGGGATGGTGGAAGAGGTAGGGAGGGGGGAGCATCAATTTCCTGCACTTAGACCTGCCACCCCTGCAGCCCTGTCAATGCCCACAATCCCCTACTCCCCAAAGTCTAGCTGTCTCTAGGGTCGGGACAAGCTCCCTCCCGTCTGGGTGTTGATGTTTGGCCTGGCCTTCATTGTGGCTGGGCCCTGGTGGGTACCTCGAAGGGTACTATACCCCTGCCCACCCTTGTAGAAACTGACCGGCCATTAATGCCTGTTTCCTGAGCCACCGCATAAACTCAGGATGGCCCAGGACACAAGGGGACCCAGACCTACCAATGGGCATTCAGAATTGTTCTCAGATGGACCTGGACTGACCAATGGGCAGCAAGCAGGGTTGGGAGGGGCCAGTCCTGAAGCAATTGGGGTGACACTGGTTATCAAGTCATTTCTTCTGGAGCCAATTTTTTTTTCTTTTTCTTTTTCTTTTCTGTCAGTCATGAGGCTTGAACTCTGGGCCTAGGTGATATCCCTGAGCTCTTTTTGCTCAAGGCTAGTGCACTAGTGGAGCCTCAGCTCCACTTCCAGTTTTCTGGTGGTTAGTTGGAGATGAGTCTCAGAGGTAAGGCACTGCCTGTAATCCCAGCTACCTCACAAGTCTGGGATCTGGGGAATGCTGTTCAAAGCCAGCCCAGGCAAAAAAGTCGGAGGGACTCTTACCTCCAATTAACCAATCAAACAATCAGAAGTGCACCTGTGTGGCTCAAGTGGTAGAGCACTGGCCTTGAACTGAAGAGCTGAGGGACAGACAGCACCCAGCCTCAAAGTTCAAGGTCCACAACTGAAAAGAAAAAAAAAAAAAGTCTCATTGGCTGGCTTCAAACCACAATCCTCAGCACTCAGCCTCCTGAGTAGCTAGTGATAGATGTGAGCAGGGGAGGAGCTGGAGCTGTTAACTGATTCTTGTTGCAGGTATCCCAGGTCCTGGGTTAACTCCTTAAATCCCCCTGAAAGGTGGGTGGGACACAGCTATTGAGAGCTACTGAGAAGAAGCTCAAAATCTCAGACAAGGATGGCCAAAGTGCGAGACCCTACCCAAACAATAATGAAAGCCTGAAAGACCTGTGGCTGTGTCTCAAGTGGCAGAGCATCTGCCTTGCAAATGTGAGGCTCTGAGTTCAAACCCCTCACCCCACCACCACCAAAAGAAAAGAAAATGTTTAAAAGGAGGGAGGAAGAGAATATGGCTCAGACAGGTGAAGTCACCTACCCTAGGCCGCACAACAAATGATTATAATTACAGCTCCTGCTGTTGTTCGTGTGTTTCTGCTACATGATTTCATTCATGTGAAGATGTCGAACAGGCTCACGTAATCCTGTGTGCAGAAAGGGAGAGGAGAATTACCTCTGTGGGGGCAAACGGGGTGT